GGAGCTTAATGGTTGAGCTATATCATTACAAAACTTCATTCATTCCCACTTTCTTTAACATTAATTAGACAAATTGATTTAAAATAAAGTAGAAACAACATAATCATCGCATTTAATCTAAGATAATGCTTTTAGAACAACACATCAACATCAACTTATATATATACACAAGTTTTTGCAATTGGAATTTGTCATTTAATTATTTGTTATTTATCTACTATTATTGTGCAATCATATTATCTTTGGGGGGTGGGTTGCGGGGGTTACAATGAATGAGGTGGGTGCCCATATTAAGTTTTATATAAAAAATGAGGTGGTGGGCCAATGATGAGAGATAATTGACTGATTAACATTTGATTTTTAATATCTAGAGTTTCAAAAGCACCTGCTCTCTATCTCTAAAATGCAGAGGAAGGAGACAGACGTTGCACGGAACCAAGAAAAAATAAAAGAAAGAGAAAAATATACATATATATATATGTATGTACTAATTTGACAAATGACAAATGAGTTATCTTTTGAATGCACAATAATAGTAGATAATAAAAAATATTTAAATGAAAAATGTATATATATACATAAGTATATTTATGAAAGATTCCATCTGATTTAATAAATAAGAAATTAGACCATCTCTGTCATACCGCAAATCCATCTCAAGAAATTAGACCATGACCTCCATCATTTAAAAAAGGAAAAATTCCATTTTGGTACCCAAAAATGGGGTTGGTATGTATTCTTTTGTCCGATGGAGTTCCGTCATTAAAAAAAAAAAAAAAAGAAGCAATGCACGTTGCTCAGGACCAAAAGATGCAATTATTTAACTAGACATTACATAATGGGGTGTCCCCACTCTCTCTGTAACTCACTTTTAACAAAGATGTTTTATAAGAAAAGTTAAAAAGACGAAAGCGTTGATTATTCGAGAATAACTTAGCATAAGGTGCATCACACCCGAGAGACTTGGGCTGCAATGTGGATTTGATAATTATACTTTTGTTCTTTCTACTTTTGCCATGGAACCAATACGTAAAGAACGATTCCAGCAAAAAGAATTGCTGCTGTGTTTCGACGCAGAACCCTTCCCTCATCCATCAATTCGTCTTGGATGCTCCACTGATAAATATTCCTCTAGTGAGCCTTCCGTTCCATCAATTTGTCTTTGATGCTCTTTCTACTTTTGCCATGGAACCGATACGTGAGGAATTTTGGCGTGTTTATTCACATTGGGTGGGGCTATTTAGGCATCCAATTTAGCTTAAATCAAATCCTTCGTAGCAAAATGACCAAAATATCCTTCACATTGAAAGCATTGATAGACCTGCGTTTTATTTGAAAAAAAAAAACGAATATGCCTGTGCATTTTCTCTCTCATTTATTGTCTTGTGTCTTTTCATATTTAATGTGGACACGATGAGAGATTCTAATTTAAATTTTCTCAGCTACTCTTCTGATTTCGTAAATTTAGTTTATATAAGAATTTATCTAAACAACATCTTCAGCCTATTAATCATAAAAAAATGGCCAGCATATGCATGTTCCAGATTATCAAATTACATTGATGCCTTCATTGATCTTTAGCTATAATTCTTTCAAAATATCACGATGAATCTCCAGTTCTTAGGTTCTTCATCTTTCAACATTCGTTATTTCGTGGAAGAGATCATTTCCACAGGTTAAAATGGTACGAGATTTGATTATAATTATCTTAATAATTTAAAAATATTTAATTGCCATGGTTCAAATATGTATTATCAACTCCATCGGCGAGAGCAGCTCTAGCCGGATTTGGCGAGGGCTGCCCTCGCCCGCCCAGCCCAGGCGAGGGCGGGTCTCGCCCGACCCCAGTGGGGGCGGCCCTCGCCCGACTCCGGCGGGGGCGGCCCTTGCCCAACTCCGGCGGGGGCAGCCTTCGCCTAAGGCCGGTGACCTCCTTCGGAGGCCGGCGGAGGGAAGAGAAAAAAAAAAGAAAAGGAAAAGGAAAAGAAAAAAAGTGTAAAAATAAAATAAAAGTACCGTTCCGGTGCTGGAACAGTACCTTTTTTGGCCGCCGGCGTACATTTTGGCCGGCCGACGATCCAGACCCTTATTTGAGACTTTTTGAGTACTTCGGACCCTTATTTGAGACTGATTAAGCACTTCAAACCCTTATGTGACACTTTGTCCACTTTGGGTACCAAATTGAGAATTTGACCCTATTTTGGGTACCAAAAATGGAATTTTTCCTTTAAAAAATAATAATATAGAACGAAGCCTTGGGAAAAAAACGAAGTGTATGTCCTTGGAGACGCAATTTGCTTTCCCAACTTGGTCCTCCTATTCTCCTTTGCTTCTGGGCCTTGGAATCTGTCAGATGAAAACACGCGGCTAAATAAATATCTCCGTCACTTTCAACACCAGCATCTTCATTGCCCTTTTGCAAGCATGCTAGACTACTATACAGTAGAAGCAGGAAAAGTCTTTAGACAAAACCAATCGAGGACCTTGGACCCAACCTCGGTGGGTCCCACATGCATTATTGTCTAGGGCTTCATCTTCTGTTATGCGTGGCTGGGGCGAATTCCCATCTTCAACATAAACTTTCGATACATGTCCTTAGAGGTCTCCAGCCTCGAAATCATTGGACTAATTATCTTCTAATCCAAAGGGAGAGAGGGAAACAGGGAGAACAAAAATGGCGGAAGCTGTCACTGGGACCATTGCTGAAGAGATCATTGCTAAGCTAATATATATAATGGAGCTTAATGAGCGACAATTGGCCGGTTAATATTTGATTTTTTATATCCGGAGTTTCGAAAGCGGCTGGTCTCTCTGTTTCTAAAATACAAAGGAGTAGGAAGGAGACAGAAGTAGCGTAGAACCAAAAAAATAAAAAAAGCAGAAAGTGATGTTAATAGGTGACCGGTGGAGTTAAGTTGCTTTTTGGCCGTGTCAGTTACGTAGCAGTACGACTTCATACACGTCGACCCCACCGTACTCGTCCTATCTGTCTTTGTACACGCTGTCCACTCCAGATTCGCCACGTACCAACAAAATCTCCCCCACCCCCCTCCTCAATTGTGATCTCGGGCCTCAACCCCAGCTGAAAGATGCTTTTGCGAAGGACTTTGTATAATAATCGTATTGTTGCAACTTTTTGGGTTTTCTTATTATTTATTTGAATAGTTGATATATGCATATCGTTTTTTCTTTTACTTTGATGCTTTATATGATAATATCATATGAAAAGTAAGGGCAGTGTTCAAGCATACAACTTTTAACTTTTCCATCATAACAAGAATTATAAAAAATTATCTAAGAAAGTACGTATAAATATTTATATATTATAAAAATTGTGCGAATAAGAAGCACTCAACCCCTGTAGACAAAAAGTCATGCTTTAAATAAGAGTGCAAAGATATAAATTTCATGGCGTGTCTCGACAAGGGAAACTTACCCACCCGCCAAGAATATCTTTTAATAGGCGAGGTTGGTTTTTGGCTGCAATTTCAGCAACCAATTAGTTTTGTGGGAACTGTCGAATCACCTTAAGCGCCTGCTAGCTGATTGGTTGCTCAGGATTTTTTGTTGAACCTTCATGTAACTCTCTTGTTTCTCTAAAGCAAAACGACAACATGAGTCAAAATGGCCTAAAAAGAAGAAATGCATTGGAGAGACACCATACGAGGAAGAACAGCTACACCACCATACTTGAAGTGATTGTTGTGAAATATATTATCGATAAGGGAAAAGGAGAATTGCATCTTTCTGGAAGAGTTGAAAAGAAAAGTAACTTCTCCTACCGCATCCTCTATGAAAAATAATGACCACAAGTCTTTCACTTTTGACTTTTAATATATAGTATGAAAATTTCCATTCTAAGCTTATGTAATATAAATAATATTATGTTTGATAATTGACGCGATATTAAATGATTTCAATTGACTAAAAGTATTGTATGATTGGCTTTTCATTTCATATAAGGGGCTATCTAATTTATTTAGACGAAAGGAATTTTATGCTTTATGATGGTCCTTCCCTTCCGCTAATCGAGGGATTGGCCTTATAATGTTTGTTAGAACTCAAATGTAACATTTTTTTTAAGGTTGAGCAATCGGGTCAGTTAAATTCGGAACAGAACTGAACTCGCCCGATTCTACACTGGTTCACACGAGTTGCGGTCAGCTCTCATATAAAAATTCTGGGAACTAGGCTTTTTTTTTTTGGGTTTGTTGGGAACCAGCTTTTGGGAGAAAATATTCAGTGGTTACCAAACACCACGTCATCGTCCTACGTGGCGTGCGTGTTCCACCCAAAAGACGACATGTGTCACGTGACGTGGCAATGGAAGGAAGCGCTTTTGTCTCTCTCCTAGGCCCGGTTGGTGGGGAAAGTACTGACCACAGTAAATATTTATTACCTCTGAGCTCTCGCTCTCTCTCCTCTCTCCTCTCTCCTCTCTCCTCTCTGTAACGTGAAGGAGGTCTTTTGCCTTCTCTCTCTTCTGCAACCCATTCTCCCTTCCTCTCGCGAGCTCACCCGAAGCCCTCCCCTCCTCCTTCTTCTTCGCCTCCGGCCTCGCCTTTCCGACTCCGGCTCCAGAAACCGTCTGGAGAAACCGCCTGCCTCGGGTTCCGATTTCGGGCTCGGACGATTTTGATGGGGAAGTGATTTCCTTTTGGCGCCTAAAAATTGAATCTTGACTTTCCAAACAAACTGAAATTCCAGTGCAAACGCTCATCTCATCGGCTTTCGTAGCTTCATCTGCTAAACCCATCTTCTCTCTCGCTCGCTCGCTCTCTAGCTTGTAGCTTTGGGATTCCGGCGACGCCGTCGACGGCCGTGGGGATGTTGTAATGGAGGAGAGAGAGAGGAGTATGGGTGCTCTGTCTAAACCCATTTTTGTCTCACGCTCGTAGCTTTGGGATTCCGGCGACCGCGGCTATGGAGGATCGGTATTCTGCTTCCATGGGTATCCATGGAATGGCACACAGGTAAATTTTTCTGTTTTCAGGCAGAGCTTCTTCTTAATCATGATGACGGGATGGTTTGTGAATAACTTAACAATTTATGCGACTGTTCTAGAACGATTCAGATGAGATGTCATTTGTATTTGTGATCACCAAAAAGAATTTGGTTGGAAGCTTAGGATACTGACTTAAGTTGTCAAAGCTAGAATCGAAGAAACGGTAATGAACTTGTTCAAGTTTTGTTCTAAAAGGAATTATAGTCAGTTCAGTTCATTATAGCCATCTTCAACGTGCAAGGACGCTAACCTGATTCTGCTACTTTCAATATGCAGGCGTTGTTTGGTATATTTGCTGGGCATAGAGGTGTAATCGCTACTGGGTTTGCCGACTTGAGTAAGTATATCATAGATGAAGTGGTGAGAAGAGACCAGGATGAAACAGAGACGGTTACCTGAAGACCGATTTGGATTTTTTGAATGAGGAATCACGAGGCAGCTCATGCTGTGTAACTGCGTTGATTAGAAGGGGCAACCACTTCGTGTTTAAGGCTAGAGATTATCAAGATGTTCTTTGTTGAGCCGGCACTGAAGAGGCTCGTACATCTGATCATAGGCTTTGCAGGGAAGATGGAAAGGAACGGATTAAGGCTCTCACAACATTCTATTCATTCTTTACTTGTAAAAAGATACTGCGCAATTAAGTTCTTTTACCTTAGCCACTTACATTCTGAAATCGCCTGAGTTACCAAACTCTGCTTGTGTAGAAGCTTGTGAGATTTCTATCCATTTTCATGAAAGCTAAGATTAATGATCAAGCTATTGTATCATGTATATTATGTTTTATTTCTATGTATACGGAGTGGGTCTATCCATTAATTTCACTTGAAAAAATATTCTTTTCCATTGTCGTGGCTGTGAAAGTCGTTCAACATACATGATTTATGTCCTAATGCAATGGCTTCCCTTCTTGTCCTGGAGTTTCTGTAAGCATCCATCATGAAGAGAGCTTCAATAGAAAATCGAGTCCTCTCATAGTTGTTCAATGGCATAGCTCAGGATTGTTGTTGATAGTGTAGCTAGAGTCCCCTCATAGTTGTGACTTTCAAAGCGAGATCTAGATACAACAAAAAAAAAATGGATCATTTTGTATGATTCATGTCGCAATTCATCGTCATGCTAGTTTGGGGTGCCATTGGCAACCCCTCTGCCCTCTCTCTCAAATGCTTCTCATGTTTTTCTAGAGGTGGAATCAAGGCATAATGTAGCACGTCTCCAACCAATAAGCGCGAAATAACGTAAAAAGAAAGACCAATCCCAACACACCAGCGTTGAACATAGATCCGTGAGGGCGAGGATATACACCACACGAAAAAGAGGACTTCATAGCAGAGCATCTCCTTTTCTAAGTCAACTAATTCGAACTACTTCAATAAAATAACATCTCAAGCAAGCTGCAAAAGATCAACAACACTGCAATCAATTCTCTAATAGACAAATCCAATTACCGAACAGCAATAAGTAAAGGGTTCACACTTAAATATGTCAACTAGTTTATCCAGCATCGATTCAAACTCAAATGCGACAACCTCGCTAACCAAATATGAACGAATCCCAAAAAAATAAAGAAATCAATCCGTCTCGAGTTGATTAATCCTATGAATTTCAAATCAAACGAACAGAACATCTGGCAGAAAGCAGAAAGAACTATCAGAAGCTGAAGCGCTATTGAGAAAAATGGAGAGAAGTTCTCTTCTTTTTCTTCTGGGTATGGCAGATTCATCATATAGAACACTTGAGTTTGCCTATAATTTCCAGTTGACTCGAGATTGGGTCAGCCATGCCCAACTCAGAAAGTGCGAGCAAGCGAGCGAGAGAGAAGATGGGTTTAGCAGATGAAGCTACGAAAGCCGATGAGAATGAGCGTTTGCACTGGAATTTCATTGTCTTTGGGAAGTCAAGATTCAATTTTTAGGCGCCAAAAGGAAATCACTTCCCCATCAAAATCGTCCGAGCCCGAAATCGGAACCCGAGGCAAGCGGTTTCTCCAGGCGGTTTCTGGAGCTGAAGTCGGAAAGGCGAGGCCGGAGGCGAAGAAGGAGAAGGAGGGGAGGGCTTCGGGTGAGCTCGGGAGAGGAAAAGAGAATGGGTTGCAAAAGAGAGAGAAGGCAAAAGACCTCCTTCACGTTACAGAAAGGAGAGAGGAGAGAGGAGAAAGAGCGAGAGCGCAGAGGTAATAAATATTTACTGTAGTCAGTACTTTGCCCACCAACCAGCCAGAGGAGAGAGACAAAAGGGCTTCCTTCAATTGCCACGTCACGCGACACATGTCGTCTTTTGGGTGGAACACGAACGCCACATAGGACGATGACGTGGTGTTTGGTAACCACTGAATATTTTCTCAGCTTTTGGGGAGAACTGGTTTGGAACAGTTCAAAACAAAGCTAAATCTTTTATATTTAAACCCTTCCTACTTTCTTTTAATTCTCACTCTCATAGCTAGCCTTGCTCCTAGACTCTCTAGTCTCTCGACTTTCCCCCAACAGTGCCCTTGATCTCTGTCTCTCTCTCTCTCTGGAGTCTTGCCCACGCCGTCTCATCTCATCTCTCTCTCTTGGTCTTGCCGACCCCGTCTCCTGTCCTCCTCTCTTGATCTCGCCGGTTGTGGCCTCGCCTTTGTTGGTCGGCCGTCGATCAACCCACTATTAGCCAGGTTCGTTCTTTCTTATAGCAACTAATCTGTAAGCTTTTCTGAAGATGAATAGCCTGAGCACAGTACTATGCGTTTTCTTTTTTCTTTGGAAAAATTCCAAGAAAGCAAGGAAAAATAGGAAATTTGAAGCAATACGAATGACAGAATGACAATTACCACCGAAGAATTTCTCTGCTCACTACAAAAATAATTTTGTTTTGGCCATGAACTATGAACTGCTAAGCCAGTAAACTCATCCTGCAATTGGGCCTTCACAAAATGAAAAATGAAACATAAAAAGGTAGACTGGTTCGAGGTCGGTTCGGTTAAGCTCTGATACCAACTTTGTCATACATCAAATCCAACCCAAAAATTTAGAGAATGACTGGCCATCCTCTGGAAAAGATAAAGAACGAAGCCTTAAATGACTGGCCATCCTCTGGAAAAGATAAAGAACGAAGCCTTAAACTAAGAATAGTAATTTTAAACCAATATATTAACTAGGCAAAACCTTTCATTGAATGATAATTATGACAAAATCCAGTAAATCATGAATTAACCAAAATCTAGAAATTCTTTAACCCTCTCCGAATTGCTCTTAATGAGATTAATGCAATTTTTGAAAATTTGGGAGAGTCCCTGTCCAATCAAAGTTGAGTTGTGGAATGGTTTTCGAAACTGTTTTGAGATAATCCAAAAAAAAAAATAGATGAAAAAGGCCAGCTTCTTTTGAAAAAGATTGATATATGGGGAAAGTCAATTTCATCAGGAAATTATGCACCAATAACTACACTAGATTTAATTCTTAATAACAACTTACAATGAGGCTTGATTTAGACAAACCAATTGCGGACCTTGGACCCGACCTCGGTGGGTCCCATATGCATTGTTGATTTAGGCTTGCGTGGATGATGAGGATTCCTATCTTCAACAACTCGAGTCGGTCAAAGAAGTTGAAAATTAGATTTGTCGGGATTTTGATTTGCCAGTCTTACGTGAGCGTCAACGACTGTTCTGAGAAGCCTATAGCCTTGCAACGACTGTACTATTATCTTCTGATCCACAGAGAGACAAAGAAAGAGAGATACATAGAACAAAAATGGCGGAAGCTGTCATCCTCAGCATTACTGGAAAGATCGTTGAATATCTGGTTCCTCAAGCACTAGACAAGGTTGGAAAGTTATGGGGGGTCAAGCAAGAACTCGAGCTGCTCAAGGACACTGTCTCCATGCTTCAGCCTATGCTAGACCATGCAGAAGAACAATACCACCATAATCCCCAAATCCAAGATTGGGTTGACAAACTGAAAGACGCTTTCTATGATGCGCAGGACGTGCTTGAAGAATTCAATATAGAAGCTATGCGACGAGATCTGAGAGGCCACAATGAAATGATGAAGGAGGTAAGGACATTTTTCTCAAATTCAAACCAGCTTGCTTTTAAATTGAAGATGAGTGACAAAGTAAGAGCAGTGAGGGAGAGAATACATGCCATTGAGGCTAAAAGGAAATTTTACTTGGAAGAGCGCCCCGTGGATTCACGAGCAGAGAGAGAGAGTGGAGGAAGAGAAAAGAGATGCGTGCGTTTAAATGTGAGAGAGATATTACAGGGAGGGATGATGATAAGAAGAGGGTTATGAAAATTTTACAGGATTTAGACGTGAAAGAGAACATTTCCATCCTTCCAATAGTTGGTATTGGCGGGCTTGGAAAAACGACTCTCGCTAAATCTGTGTATGAAGATAGTAAATTTGACTTGAAAATGTGGGTTTGTGTCTCTGATGACTTTGACATGAAAAAAATAATGAAAGACATTATAGCTTGTGCAAAGGGGAAAGAATCAAGAGAGGTTGCACCGGAACAGTTGCCAAGTGAACTGAGGGCAACAATTGATGGAAAGAGATATCTCTTAGTTTTAGATGATTGGTGGAATACAGAGCGAGAAACATGGCTGGGCTTGAAAACTTTATTGGTCGGAGGTGCTAGAGGGAGCAAGATCCTTATAACTACACGTCTTCCTTCGGTTGCGATGATCACCGGTGCTCCGCCTTATCTCCTTGAGGGCTTATCTGAAAGTGCATCTCTTGATTTATTATTACAAATGGCTGATCGAAAAATAGAGGAGATACAAGAATCTGACATGCTAGCCATTGGCAAAGAGATAGTTAGAAAGTGCTCTGGGGTCCCATTGGTTGTTCGAATTGTCGGCAGTTTACTATTCTTTAAAAAAAGTAAACATGAATGGTCACAATTCAAAGATAACGAGCTTCCGGATGTGTTTCAAAGGGAAGACAGCATAAAATCAGTTCTTAAACTTAGTTATGACCATCTTCCTTCACATTTGAAACAATGTTTCGCATTTTGTTCATTGTTTCCCAAAGATTATGAGTTAAAGAAGCAGACTTTGGTCGATCTTTGGCTGGCAGAAGGATTTATCCGGCAATCAAATACAAGTCAGCATTTAGAAGACATTGCTCATGGATATTTCATGGATCTACTATGGAGTAACTTCTTCCAAGATTTTCAAAAAGATCCACTCACGAACGAGGAGACCTACAAGATGCACGATTTGATGCATGATCTAGCTTGCTTAGTTGCAGGGACCGAGTATTGGGTGGCATTGGACGACGCAAAATCCATACATGAAAGAGCTCGTCATTTATCTCATCGTTTAAATTCCAATATTATGGGTAAACTTCCAATCTCACGCTTGAAAGCAAGTCCCCTGAGAACATTTCTGTCTGTCGCTAGATATGGGGAAACTAGATCAAGAGGACCAATAAGTGAAGCAGATCTACGCCTACTCATTCAAAGTTTCAAAAAGTTACGCATATTGGATCTGCATGACACATGTGTGGGGGAGGTGCCAAGGTCCATTGGTAAGTTGAAGCATCTCACGTATCTCGATCTCTCTGACAATTTTGAACTCAAAAGGCTTCCTAACTCCATTACGAGATTGCAGAATTTGCAAACACTTAATCTCAATTGTTGTGTCCACCTTAAAGAATTGCCGAAGGATATAAGGAAGTTAGTCAACCTTCGAAATCTAGACATATATGAATGTAATGAACTTGGTTATGTGCCATACGGACTAGGGCAATTGAGTTATCTGCATAGGCTAACGCGCTTCATTTTGCCCAAAGATAAAGCTCTTGCTAAGGATTGTTGCGAGCTTGGGGAGCTAAATGGGCTTAATGACATTCGAGGAAACCTTAGCATTGAAAATTTGGGAAGCGTGACGGATGTGGTAGCAGAATCCAAGGCAGCGAACTTGATAGGAAAGCATTATCTGGAATCTTTGCAACTTAAATGGGGCGATTTCGATACCGATGATGCAATAATCGGGGATAGAGATGATGAAGCGCTGTTAGGTGGACTGCAGCCGCATTCAAATCTACAGTACTTGACGATCTGGGAATATAAAGGTGAGAGCTTTCCAAAGTGGTTGACGGAAAACCTTGCGCCTTCCTTGCCAAATTTAGTCGAGGTACGCATCTTCTTTTGCGGAAGATGTAAACGTCTCCCTCCACTAGGCCAACTACCTCGCCTCAAGTTTTTATCGATTTGGAGGATGCCTGAATTGGAAGACATCGAGCCAAGCCATTCATCGACTTCAACACCACCATTTCCTAGCCTATTGGAATTATGGATCGATGGCTGTATGAAATTGAAAGCCATGCCACAAACTCCGCATCTCGAGAAATTGATGCTGGCTGAGTCCAACCCAGCATTGATAAATATGATATTTGAGCTTAATAAATTGAAGAGCCTGGAAATCAGGTATACGGAGCTTCCAGAATGTTTGCTTGAGGAGTGTTTGAAAAGCCTCACCTCCCTCGAATCTCTTCGCATCGATAGATGTCATCGGTTAACTTCCCTCTCACCGCAGCATCTATCGAACCTCGTGGATCTCCGTATTTGGAATTGTAAGGAGTTGGATTTATCCAAAGGCGAAAGCGGCAACATCAACAACGACTTGGATTTCCATGGAGGACTTCAGAATCTCCGCTCCGTGGATCTCAGTCTCCTTCCAAAACTGGCGTCTCTCCCGCGGTGGCTTCTACGGGTCCGCAATGTCGAGCGCCTCCATATTGGCGGGTGCGACAATTTGAAGGATTTACAAGATCTCGAGGCCCTCCAATCGCTTCAGCGGCTCACAATCCTCGCGTGCCCCTCGCTGACGTCATTACCCGAAGGAATGCGAAGGCTCGCATCCCTTACTTACCTGGGCATCTTCGATTGCCCAGAATTGGAGAGGAGGTGCAATAGAGATGGAGGCGAGGACTGGGACAAGATCGCTCATATCCCCCGCATACGACTTGGATGGGGGTAGATCGAGCCCCTAATTTTCTTTACTGAAGGTATGTATGTGGGGGGCACCTTGTTCCCCCGGATCTTTTACTTGAAGAACAATTCTCGAATGATCGTTGTGTAATATATACATGTTCGACTCACTTACAGTGTCTCTGTTTCCAGTGATTTTAGACTGCGACCGAGATCTCCATATGCCACGACTACTTCATTTGTTGTTCAAATCTGTCCATATATGTTGTCTCTGCTTCTGATACTCTGCCAGGTATTGATTCATGTTAATCAAATATCTAGATGAGCAAAGCACGTCAACTTACGCCACAAGTAACGTATACCCAAGGGGAATCGTGAGTTCGTTTCGGCTTCTGACGAATTATATTCGCTTCGCTTGGTTGAGATTATGCTTGCTGGTTGTTTGTTCTCTTGCTCGGCTGATTGGTGTTGTGGTCTTACTTTGGTATTGCTATAACGATGCTTTGATAATTTTGCGCATCCGAATTTGATTACACTCGTGAATTTCCTTTGAGCTGTCATTTGGGCTAATTGAGGAATTCTCAATTGCACTGATTGCTATTTGTCATAGTGGCCAGGGAAGCTTTCATATTGATATGATAGGATAGCAAATTTCTCAAGAAACAGATGCGCCTATTGGCATGCATTATAATGTGATTTTGTCCGGAAATAATATGAAGGTAGAACCGTTTGAGGTGCAAAATACATGGACTGGTGAATTCTAACCGGGGTAAAGACGAGTGATGTCTTACTCTTGAATCTATTGAGAGCCTAGAAGGTCTTGCCTTAGATGGATTACTTCTTTGCCATCAACTAACATTAAAAAGTATGACGAAAGAATAAAAACAGAGTGCAATGAGGTGTTTGGTGAGTGCTTGTGCATATATGTGTGTAAATGAGTGAAGATTAGAGAAGTGTGTATTTTTGAGCTAAATCTTCACAGCGCCATGCTAACATCTTCTCTGTTTAGTATTCATGCTTTGACATCGTCAAAATATCAGTCCTCGTTTTATAGGTGGTGAATTGGTCGTTGTCCATTCTTGCACATGAGTCCTATACGAAACTAAATCAATACTGAATTATGTTTGCCAAAATTCGAGTATAACCGTGTTGATTCTGCTGGTCATATGCTTATTGTTGGATTAAACTTGTTATATACTCTTCTTGTTGGATTAGATTTGTCTTCTTTCTCTGCTAGTGCTTAAAATGTTTTGTTTACTGGACTTGTCTCCCTTGTGAATGAACAATGGTGTCTGCTGAAATCCGCTGAATACGCTACCGAGAGCTTGTCTCTTCAAATAGAAGCTCGCTGACTGCGCTTGACAAGGCCACAATCATAACTATGGACTCTCTATCCTTCTCTCAGCATTTCATTGTCTTCATCACATGTGCTTCTTCTTTCTGTCCGTCATTCGCATTTTTGTTATTGCTCTGTTTCAAGGCCCTGCGAGGACGGAGTCGAAGTTGTACAGCACTGGGTGAAACTCCTGTTCTTTCCGCATTCGCATTGCTCTCAACTTGAAGGGTTTGAGTACGGGTATATGCATGTAAATTTGGTAAGGAAAGATCAATTCAGTAAAGGTGAATCCTTCCTTGCCTGCTCTCTCTTTTTTTTGTTTTCATCTTGCTCTCCAGAGTCGGTATTATGTTGTGATCCTATTTGGAAAGCTTGAGGACTTGAATATTTTAATTCCCCAAAAAAATTTGTAGTAGCTGCAGTTCTTTGGGGAATTATTGATTGCTTAGGGGAATTGGTGTCTTGCGATTTGTGAAACCAAGTTTTTAGCAGGCTATGCTTAACATTTGCTTTTCTTCAGTCCTATCAAAACCCCTCCGGCATGTGATGAAGCTATATCAATACGATCTCTTACTTCAGCAGTTTTATGGATAGCCAGGGATTAAACCAAAGTTTTGATTTGATATTAAATCATAATTGGAGTGTGTGTTTTGTGTTCTGTTTTGCAACCTGGACGGTTTATTCATGTAGCTGATACTTGCATATACTTTTCATAAAATGAGTGGGCAATGAATGGGTGTAAAGAATACATGTCGATTTCGAAAGAAATAGAACCGTTGTCATGTTTGATCATGCTGGAATGGAATTTGGATTTGCTGGCTTATCTGATTGGGGTTCAATTTCGGCATGTTGTGATGTCATTTTTATCATGTGAACATGTATGATGATTTAGAAGAATGTTATGGTGAATTGGTGATAATTTTTATCAACAAATAACCATGTTGCTGTGCCTTGAACTTGCTGGATATGGGCTGTCATCACCATTCCTTTGCTGGTCACTCTCTTTGGGGTGTAGATTGAATTGATCTGAAGCCCATCCCAGTGTTGTTCTTATTACCCGTGATGTGGTGTTTGTATGTTGACGATTTCTTAATCATTGGGCATGGTTGTTGCCAATTGCTTTGATTGAGGTGATGCTGAAATTCATGGAGTATCTCAGTGAAGATTTGATTCAGAGGAAGGACCCAGAATAAGAGAAGAAAACGAAAAAAAATAAAATAAAATTCTTAAAATAAAAATTAGAAATGGTTAGAAAAAAATAGGCATTAATTAGGTTGTTAGATTTTAGTATTAGAATTAGTTTATTCTTGGAAGATTAATACTTCAAAAAAGAAATTGAACTCAATTTGTACTAAAATCATGGAGGTTGCTGTCCTGGGGCTTAACAACAAGGTCATGTTATATTCATTGTCCAACTCGTATCGGTTTACTTTACTGCACTTTATATTTTACTCGTTCTTTCATTACTTTCTTAGATCAATTAATTATGATTCTTTTATAATGTTTTCCTATGTTTTATTTTGCTTGCTTTAGCTAAGTGGTTAAGTTACAATCATAATAAACACCAAAAACATTGTCTGGACACTTAGCGGACGAAAACGTTAGGACTCATAATTGGATAAAAAGATTGCATGACCACTTTAGCTAACAAATAATTAAGTTTAGGTACCAAAAGAGCACTAATTAGATAACTAGTGTAATCAAGTCATCGATCCTAAATCTTTGGTTGCATAGGAAATGAGGTATACTCCCGTACCTCACTTGGTTTCTGGCAGACCCCAATAGGCTGGCGGCAAATCCAGTTTCACATAGGATATTCATAAGCTAAATCAAACTTAAAATGAAACGCAACCTCATGCAAGGTAATGGCTTGGGAGAGCCAGCGCCTAATCAAGGGCCGTTGGCCCGCCTTTTGGGCATTACCTCTAAATTAGTCTTTTCCCCAACCACGTCAGGAAAAAGCTGTCGCGACAATGTGATGATAGAATGTGCTTTTTTTGGAGAAATTAACAGAATCATACGTTAGTGAAGAGAAACAGCTCAAAAGGTACTATGAGGAACAGTACATGCAAACCCTTGTATCGAATACACATTTTTCGTAGTTGATGGGATTGGAATCTAGTGCAGGGGAGAAATGGCTTTGATTCAGGTGATTCGTTCAAGTCTTGGCTTCTCTGCTCCCGCTATGGAGCTCAGCTTGCTCTGTTTTTCCTTATAGCTTACTCTCATCCACGAGATGGAAAAGTCGGTTCTTGAAGCTAACGCCCGTTCTGTAAAGATTGTTTTAGAATATCTTTTTGGATTTACTTATATTCTATCTCCAGTCGAGCCTACTGGAACCGGTAGATTTTGATGAAAACAATTGGAACATACATCAGTTATTTTAGAATTTGAACCTTAGACTTGACTAAGATGAGACTGATTAATCAAACTCTCTTTGGGAGGTTGATGATTTGCTTTTGAGGTGAGATTGTACGACATCGAGCGAAGGTCTGGCCTGTATTCATGCTAAAACTTGCAGTGATAAATTATAGAAAGACCTCGGAACTTTAGGTGGAAATAATGGGATGGTGAAAAATGTTTCTAAGGTATAGTTGAAAGCGAAGAATTAATGAAGTTGCAACGGTTGGCAGTCATAGAAAAAGGAATTTGGGTTGACGGAGAGGGATCCCACGTGGACCTAATTTATACGTGAAAAATGAATATTTTAATGTTTATTTTTTATTGTGTGAAAAAAAATTATATAAAGGGTATAAAGTCCTCTCCTTTCGAAGCTCTCATTCCTGCGCAAGAGCTGCATCGTTCACTTTATAAAGGGAAGTAAAGGCATCCCAAAAAGAAGTTCGATTTTTGTACGGCCTCTGTGATCAATATTGATAACTTTTTTTTTAAACTTTTTTTTTAATAATTCAGGGATATTGACGTGAAAACATTCATGGAACATCGTGCAAACCCCACGAATTTAATTCTTCTTGTTTAGGATTAAATTTGTTCTATTTGTTTTTGTGGTACTTGATAGAAGTTTGAACGGCAAGATGTCATTGTCTCTCCTCTCTTAACTTTTTAAGTGATTAACTTATATTGCAATCTTTGATAGTGCACATCGGACGTTGAAATTTACTGGAATTTAAATTGATCTCGAAACTCCAACTTGAGACTTGACTCGAGCATGACTTATTAATTAAACTCTCTTTACGGAGGATAATGAAAGTGATTCCGTGGTGTCATCCCATTAGTAGCGACTAGCGAGACACTTATTTAATACGTTCACCTTTTTACTATTGCATCAGGGTCTTCATTTAGCTCGCAGCCTTGGAGCAATTTCAACATCTTTTAAGGGGCGGTGGCCAATTTTTGTAATCATTCTAGGGATAGCAACAAGATGTGCCGGGAGAAGAATGATACGAGATTGCTCATAGCCTGCAGATAAAGCACGAATTTGATTGAGAACCGCCAGGAAGATGAATAATAAATGTATCAGTTTGCTTTCTTTTGGTATAATAAGCAGCTCTTTTTTCAACAAGTATGCAAAATAATTTGAGTCGTAGGGTTCTTCTTCTATATTGAACCATGTGAAATAGGTTTCATTTGGCAAAAATATTTTTCCCTTATCTTATCTCCAAAGATACCGAGTTATATTAGAATCTCATTTTCATATCATCAATCCTAACTAAATATCCTTGCCGCTCCATGTGCTGGTTCAATAGGAGTGGGATCATATCAATGGACGGTCTCGAGCCC